TTCATTAATAATATCATAAACCGTAGAAAGGCCACTTTAACTCTATTTGTAGCACTAACAATACTAATAATAAGCCTTACTTATTCTACCGTGTCATAAAAAAATTAATGAAAAGTTACAAAGAGTACCTAACACTTAATATAATACTAACATCATATATAAGCTCTAATAAACTTAACGCGTTACTAATTTTGAGAATAATAACTCTCTAGGCTGGATTCACAAATAAAAACGAAACTGCGAGAAATATTACGACAGAAACAGGGACCAAAAATACACTTGTCAAGCGGGAGAAAATGGAAGAACGACAACGAGGGTAAGCGAGAAATAGAAACGAAGCACCAAGGAAGGAAACAAAGCCTCACCAGAGTAAAGTCAAAGTCAAAGAACAACATGAGAAGACTTCCGGGGTTGTGCAGCATGCAACTGGAAAAACAAGGACACTCCTCTTGGTGATCTGAATGTTGCGGCATCAACAAAGTGCTGTAGGAAACACAGGCGGATAAAAGTGGTATTAATAGTACAATCCTGCAAAATGTCAAACGTGACAAAGGATACGAACTCTGTGCGGTTTAGATTATCCTCGCTGTTCCTGTCACCAAAAACTATTTAACCAATAGGACGGGCCGAAAAATTGCCTTTTGGCTCTGAAAGTATCGACTGCAGCGGACGACCAACCACATTCACTAAACTTCACTACCAACTTTCCTTGAAGAAAGTCCGTTAGATACGAGCCAAAATGTCGGTACTGGTCAGTCACCGGAATGACCACAGTATCTTCTGCATTATGTATAAGTGAACGGTTTTTTATGCTGTTCTTTCAGTATGACCACCAACCAAACCACGAATAAAATAATTTATCTTGGGAAACAAAAGTACATGCTAAAAATATACTAGACGGTATTTGGCTTCCCAGTTGGTAGTTATACGGGAAAACAGCTTGAAGCGGTCTATTTATAAGCACGGAATACATGTACTCTGTCCTACAGACACCAAGATTGACGGTTTTGCTCGAATCTTATAAGCTCTTCTCAAGACAAAGGAGATAGTTGCCATAGATCTAGTCTACGGCGTCGGCTAAATACCTGAGGAACCACAGTATTTCGATTTGTACAAATAAATCTTGTTTTGTTTTGCATTTTGTGTTTACAGCTACTTAACATTTGATATTGTACACGGTGTTATGCAATGGTACATTTGGTATTTTTTTATAAAATAAACAAGAAAAAAATTCCTTATTTGTACACTGTGTCCAAGCATTCTATTTTCAAAACGTCGAACTTATAGAAAGTCTCTTCTGACAACATTAGCAGCAATCATCCGCCAATCATTGAGGATGAGTGCAACTCTTCACGCCATTCGAGCACGTTTATGAAGGTTCCTTAAAACAAGCAAAACAATAGATTCAATAATTCTTGAAATACACAAAAAAATCATACTCACGAAGAACATTCACGTGCTGAAGACTGAAAAACCATGAGGGCAGATAATACAGAACTTCCCTTCTTCCAAAACCAACCTTTCAATCGATTCCTTACCTTTATACTATTAGTCCCTTGACACTTGCTCATCATTCACTAACGTACATTTCAGCTTCCCAACAGTACCAGATTGGACAGAACCAAAGAAACGAGGAGACCAATTCGACTGATTCATGTGGATCAACAGATTCCATTTCGTAAGCCGGTGACAAAAGATTTAACCTTTACCGCAGATGTAATAGCTGTCTAATATAAAACTGAGATACGATTTCTAAAGATCAGATATCGTAAATCTGAGTTAGTCTGCTATTTTGTCTCTTGCAGTCCATGATGAGATGACAAGGCAACAACTTTCCGCAGCACGTCTCCAGTGGCAGAAACTATGCCTGACGGATATCAATAACAGAAGAAAAATCAACGGGCACAAAATATCATTAAGGAAGGAGGTTCATTATATATATATAGGTCGTTTTAATTCAGTACGCTTTAAGGATAAAAGCTAGAGGAGCAGTCCCACGGACAATAAGGAGAAAGCGAAAAACCATTTGATTTTACAGTTTATCGAAAACCTTCACATTCAAACAGGCACTTATGCCATATATCTCCTGCAACTAAATCAATTTTTAAAAATATGTCAACAATATGGGATCTATATCCCTTAGAATTGCTTCCACTTATTCAATTGACGGAGCAGAAATTGAACACAATCAAAATTTCTTACGCAAAAGTGGCTGCAACGAAATCATTATTAGAAGATGTTTATTGAAATTCGTCCTTAACGTTAAAAACAAGCCTAATAGCAATCCTAATGTTCCTAACTCATTTGTTCCAAAAGTTTTTAACAAAATCACACGGTGTGTTGAGAATGAGGATTTATGAACATGCTTCATAACAAGCACTTCACATGGGTCGCAGATTTACTGGAAACTTAATCAGTTCACGGGAACGACGAAAGTGAATGCCGGGGTTTGTAAGGTCAATTGGAATGTGACAGAAACTACATTGGAAAAACTGTAAAACTGGATAAAATGGTTGCAGAATATCTAGCAGCTCTGAGGAATACGGAAGCGGATCACTCCTGGCAGTCTCCCACACGTTCTACTTGGGATACTGATTAGCTCGATGAATGTCACCTCGGTTGATATATCGAGAACAAACATCGGCCATTGTTCAGTGACTCACTACACGATTTTAGTTAACAAAAGCCGACTGCGTAACGAATGTATTATCTCATTTAACTTAAGTGAAAGCTGGAATGTCATCGGTCGGCTTGACCGGAGACGCAGAAATCGAAGGATGTTTGCCTTTATAATCCAGCGTATAAATCACCATTCTGCTGTAGCACATGTTGCATACAAAAATTTTTGAGGCTCTTTTAATTAACAGATGAATGAATAATACAAAAACAACGCACCAATTATAGTCCCTTTCAAAAGGTTCTAACAAAACCGATAAAATAACTGCTACAATAAGGAAG